CATTTCACCCTTCAAACATCTAGATGAAGCTTTAAACCCAAGTTGTGCTATTGTCAGTTTATTGCTTGAGAAACACAGGGCAGTTCAGAAAAACACATTGAGTTAAATAAACATGATTTGATTTGTCACATGGTGTCTCGGTTCCATCTAGGCTACTAAATTCAAGCTATTGCAGGGGAACAACACAGTTCGAGCAGACAGAGAAATACAGTAGTTCAGCTTTATTTTTTCTCCTAGGCAAAACGGTCCCATTGACTGTTCATAATTTTGATACTTCTTTAAGAGTGAGATTACTTCTTCAGCCTCTTAAGACCAATGCTGTGCTAGCGACACCTTCACTTTATTTGTGGTGTTGGTATCTCCAGTTCCTAATGCTAAGGCGTAAAAAGAGATGGGTATAGATTTAAACCACAGATTTTTAAAATTTTTTGTGAATATAGCTTTTAAATCATCTGACTCTTGGGCTTACCCATCACCTAAATAAATTCATTTGTCTACACACCAGCTTGGGATCCTAAATTAAGGCACTTCTAGAACAGGGACTTTAAAGAAGCATGCAGTCAGCAAGCATTATTTTGGGGGGCAATTAGGATCTTACATTAGCTGCAAAAAAATTCCCACACTCTGATCTGAATACTCAGATCATCTAAAGAACTCAAATTAACAGTCCATTTTACATTTAAAATGGCCAAATTTTCCCAAAGTTAAGCATCCTCGCTAACAAATATCTTAGTGTAGCTTTGCATAATGAAAACTCAGAGGTGGGTTTATTTAAAACAAGCGTTACATATTGTGCGTTCCTGTCCTGCTGCATTATTTATATCTCTCTGCCCCCTTTTCTCAGTGTGTACAAAAGGTCAAGTAGTGACAGGCCAGTACCGTATGCTTGCCAAGCATGGTGGTTACGTATGGCTGGAGACTCAAGGAACGGTGATTTACAACACGCGCAACCTACAGCCTCAGTGTATTGTCTGTGTCAACTATGTGCTGAGGTAAGTTGTATGGGACAGAAAAAAACATGTATGGATTCATGTGCTGGAAGAAATGCAATAATCAGAGGAACTTTTGAAGGGTCTATTTATTCAGTGTTGTTATTCTGAAAGCAGTTTAGTCATGTTTGTTCAGTCTTGTTTACTGATGTTAGACATCGATGAAAAATGTGGCATGCCCGTTCCCATACATGCTGTTGAAATACACCACAGCCTTTCTCTTCTGCAGAGTGGCTGCTCTGCCGATATATACAGAGTAGAAAGCCTGCACTGAAGATTTTATTCTGTAACACAACTGCTAATATGTTTTGTTTTTCTAATGCTGTGACAGAGAGATAAATTTAGTAGTAATTGTATCTTAGGTTGCTAGGAGAAGCTGTTTTCCGCCTCAAAAATCAGGACCAATCAGGAGTTTTGCCTCTGTCTGGCAAAAGTCAAGTATTTTTGGTCCTAGATGGGGCCAAAATAGGAAATACTTATTTGAGTGATAGTCTGGGTCATAATAGCCTCGACTACATCCCTTTAAAATGCAGAGCAACAAAGCCCTGAGTATTCCCACACAAGTCCTGACCACACTCTCTGCGTCATCTGAGATGGTGGTGCTCAGCAACGCTGGAACTGTGCCTCGCCTGTCGAGAGCCTGGCATGCGACCGAGAGAGGCCAAAACGCTTGCATGGGCCCCAGCTTTAGAGAGTTTGTACTGCTTACATTACCCGCATCTTTTTTTTTTTAGAGTGCAAAATACCTAAAACCTATTTTCTTGTTAGTGAAATTGAGAAGAACGATGTTGTGTTCTCCATGGACCAAACAGAATCGCTCTTCAAGCCTCACCTGCTGACGATGAGCACTGCCTATGAGAGCGGCATCCCCGGCACGGAGAAGAGCGACTTCTTGTTTACGAAGTTAAAGGAGGAACCAGAGGAACTTGCTCAGCTGGCACCAACACCTGGCGATGCCATTATTTCCCTGGATTTTGGTTGGTATTTGTATAAATAATTTTTGTGCAACAAAGAACCACATGTGAGCCTACATTTAGAAACTTAACAGACAAGGTCTGTTTGCTGTGTGTACAAATCAGGAGTAATGGCTATAAGAGCCCACGTGCTCACACCAGTGGAAAATTTCTGTGAATGAGCGCAGAATCAGGCTTTCTTGCTGACTAAACAACATGCATTAAGTCTATGCCAACTTATTGTCATGGCAACTAGGAGCAGTGTTTACTTTCAATGAATAGCTGCAATTATATCATAACACAGCACAACTGAAAACCATCCATTAATATTGTTAAAACTCCGTGCAGGGACACAGAAGTTTGAGGAAGCCCCTGCCTTCACCAGTGCTGTTTTGACACCAAACAAAGCATGGCCAGTGGAAGTGAAAAGCCACGCTGCTCAAGGTGAAACACTGACGATACCATCCTTTACAATGCCTCAGATTGCACCTGGCAGCAGTACTCCAAGTGCAAGCAGCAACAGTAGCTGTTCCACGGTAAGAAGAGCTTTAAAAAAATTGCATGTTATGTTTTGTATAAAAGTCCTATCAATATACGTAGAAGTTTTCATGTTAGCAGTCCTGTCTCATCGCTCATGTACAAGGCCCGGTGTATCTATATCCCTCCTGTACTGTGTATACCTTAAACATCAATAGCAAAAACATCAAATGGGAACCATATCCTGCCTTTACATTGCAATCCTCCTTTTCTCCCAGCTGTCCCTCAGTAATTACTATAACTTACAAAACAACTGGTAGAAGAACATGCTACCACCTTTCATGGAGTTAGCCTTAAATAAAAAGCCAATGTAAAATGGTGTGGTCTCTAGCAACATTGGCCCAGACCCATATGGCCTCTTTCTGTTTGTTAACTAGAAGCTATAGTCTCTAGTCCAGAAACTTTACTCAGCTCAGGATTTTGAGAGCAGCTCCATGGAGTTCCTCACTGAATGTGAATGTGCTTTCAGGGCACTGCCCCCAAGAGCTGGAGCCACTCTTAGCCAGCCTTTACTAGAGGATGTCCAATTTTAATAAAGACATTGAGCTGTAGTGCTAAGCGTCTCCCTTCTTGACACAGCTATTTCATAATGTACATGTCGTGTTGCTGGTCTGAGTTGCCAAAAAAACATTTAAACTAAGATGACAACTAGGTTCTTGTGTTGGAGAAAAGCATATGATAGAAGCGGACAGTTTCGGGTTCTGATGACAGCCTGGTATCATAGGAAAGCTCTGTTACTGAATAGCACAGTATAAACTGCATGATGCTAAGCCAGTACTGTGGTGGTCTTGCTGCTTATCGCAAATTCTTATTTCTGTGCAGCCAAGCAGCCCAGGAGATTATTACAGTTCTGTGGATGAAGATTTGAAGATTGAGGTCATTGAAAAACTCTTTGCCATGGACACGGAATCAAAAAGTCAGTGCAACTCCCAGGTAAGGAGCTAGTATCTCTTCCAAAAGCCGTAAGAATCAGTCCCCTGCTAGCAGGTAATACAGATGCATACTGTATGTGCAGATATAGCAACATACATGCAAACTGCATTAATACATGTACACCAAAACTTTGATGCACAATACTAACAAAAATATACACATTCAAAAGCTGGGGTGTAAATTTCTATGCCTAACTCTCTGAAGCAAGTGCCTCAGGGTGTCACTGTGGTGGCACTGCTAAGAAGAAAGAAGCAGAGAGCTTTCAGAATTTGGAAGCTTCTGTAGACTGGATAAGGAATATAAGCAGCAGCTTTTTTTTTTTTTTTTAAACTGGCCTAATGACTAGCGAGTAAACGTCCTTTCTAGAACAAAATGTAAATAAACTAATTCTTACAAAACCTCAAAGTGAGAAAAAAATGCCCCTCATAGCACATGCCTCCTTTAACTACAAAATGAAAACTTCATTTGGGATATATTCCTCTTGTTTTACTTCTTGGAGGATTTCAGAGAGATGTGACAATTATTTGCACATGAAGTATCAGTCTCCTGCATTCTAAATCAGGGTTTAAGTGTAGAAATTCCCTCTATAAATAACTCTCTTAATCCTCCACTAATAAAAAGCGTAGGCCTGATTCAGCCCACCTAACTTTAGGTACTTATTGAAATGCCTTGTTAAGAACTCATATTTCTTAAAAGAAAGGAACAGGCATTGCTGGCTGGCAGCTCAGACCTTAGACTCATCTCCTTTTGTTAATCCTACGGAAAGTTTGGGGTGATTTGGGCCCCAATGAGGTGCCTCAATTTGCCAGTGCAAATTGCAAACTAAGTAAGATACAGGTAGGCTGTAGTCCGTATCCTGAAGAAATTTCATCTAAGTTTGGACATAGAAATAGCAATGAAAACAATAGAAAGAGTGGACAGATAGGAGGAAAATGTGGATCAGGATCAAACTCGGAGCAAGACTTGACGTGCAAACTTCAGTTTTGTCAGACTCAGCATCTGCTTTCACAGGTGTGTCCCACCACATCAGCAGGTTTGTCTGGTGGGAAAGTGCCCCTGTCATGAGCTGACTGGTGGGCCAACATTCATTTCCCTATCTGTTCAGCTCTGGTCAAACGCCAAGAGAAATGAATTTAAATATGACTAGTTCTCCAAGAAACAAATAAAAAAACAGATTGAAGTGCAATAGTGTCCTTCCAACTACATTTTTAAAAACTTTTGCATTTTCAGACACTTTTTTTTCATGTAGCTGGATTATGAGAAAGCTGTGTTTTCTATTTTAGCACAAAAAGCTACATGCCACTTGTTGTAGAGTCTTGGCAGACAAGTTATTCAAAGCTTAATGAAACACAAGAGCTAGTTCAGATCACAGTGATGTTGCAAGCTGCTTTACCAAATACTGAGTATCTGGAAGGTTTTTTTCTTCAGTTGTTGTCTTTGCTGATGATGATACAATGAGCATGTATGCTACTCATAAAAATAGGACATCTTTAATTAGAAGCTGGCCAGTTTCATGTAGGTAAATTTGGCATACAGTGATTTTTTCAGCTTCACATCTACTAGTATTTCAAATCACACTAACTGCCACAAATCTTACTAACTTTTAATTTCTTTATCAACTGAAATTTATTTTTGTGCAGACTGACTTCAATGAACTGGACCTTGAAACCTTGGCTCCTTACATTCCTATGGATGGAGAAGATTTCCAGCTCAGCCCAATCTGCCAAGAAGAACGTCCTCTCTCTGAAAGTGCACAAAATACCCAGCAGAGTCTAAGTAGCATGAGTACCATCTTCCAACCCCTTGCTTCTGCTTCACAGAATCAGTTCCTTCCAGAGAAATATTGCCCACAACTGTCAAATAAAAACATTAACCCAGGTCACGGGTCCCTGTCATCGGTGTTCTTCAACAATGTGAGTAGATCATCGCTGCCACCATACCATGACCAAGCCAGCACTCCCCTGTCTTCGATGGGAGGAAGACCAAACACCCAGTGGCCACCTGATCCCCCATTAGAATATGTTCCTGCTAAATGGAGACGCATGGATAAATACTCAGGATCCCTATCAAGTTCCCCCTCAGGGCCACCAGTACATTCTCCCAGCATGCCCATATATAAAAAAAGGTAAGAATTTTTGGGGTATAGCTATGTATTTTACTCAGAAAAGATTTTCGGGGATGGGGGTGGTGTGTCATAATACTGAAAAATTCTGTTTTCTCAGTTCATCTGGAATTGTTGTTTTGATAGGCATCAGACTGCACTTTTGGGGAAATTAGTGTGATGCTCTCCTGGCAGCAGTTGGTCTCGGGGAATCAGAAGTGGGCTAGTTTTTTGCTGCCTGTAAGGATGCATGAATGGATTTCCTGCTGGTTGGATAAAGATTACCAAAGTAATTTTGCAAAGCCTGCCTGACTTTATGCAGATGTAAAAAAAAATTCTGAAAAGGCTTACTGGTCCAGCAGTAAACTGGGACCCACGCATACTTTCTTATTTTATGCATATTTTTTGCACAACAGAAAATAGGGGAGAGGGAGGGATGACAGTACATTTATGGTTGGCATACGTAAATATTACAACTAAGATTTGAAATTACAAGGTTTTTTTTTCTACAGCCCTTCTTTGCCTTGATCACTTTCTTACTGTTCACATGTGTATGGGATCAGATGTGGATCAGAGGCTACAGTCCTAGAAGTTTCATATCACAGCCAGAAGTTTCTCTGTAGCTCTTGGGTAGCATGCAGAGTGTGGGTCTTCAGTGTTGGTCATGCTAAAACATTCAGGAAGTACGTAAAATAGCAATGGTAATTTTAAAACATGAAGCCATGCGGTTTACCTGCAGTTTGCTTTCTGGGATTTCTTGTTGTTGGCAGAAATACCAGATATGCATCTGGAAAGAGAGGGTTTGTCCCCAAATGGCAACCCGTATGTTCATATTTAGTACACAAAGCAAGGGGACAGGCGTGGCTCTCAAAATCCTATCCTTAAAAATCGCATGACTTTCTTTTCCACAGCATTTTTATGTCTGCCCGGAGATTCCTAGAGGCTGTTTATACTAGACCTTCATTAGTCTTTGATCCCAAAAGTCAAAATTTTCCAAAGCTTGTGGGATGACTAACAAAAGGAAATAAAAACATTTGGCGTTTGAGGTCTGTCCACTGTCATGTGTCAAAGACACCTTAAATGTCTTTAAATGAAAGAAGAATCTGTATAAATGAACAAGATGGTTTAGATTTGCCTGCCTGCTCACTCACCCAGAGATCTTTTCTCAGCAGGCCCCTGGATGCTTTTGGGCAACGAGGCATAGATATAAACCCAGCAAGAATTGCTCTGTCTAACAGTTTGAAACTGAAGCGACAACTGGATTATGAAGAGCAAGCGTTGCAACAGCTGAGTGGGGTAATCATAAGAAATGTATCCCCTTCACAACTTTGGACTCACCACGGTCATCGGTGTAATTATTTGTTTCGCTTTTCTTCGCATTCTAGGGAGATCCATCTGTCATTAACCCATCTCACCTAATGTGGAAGAGAATGAAATTTCTCAAAGGGGAAAACTGTTCCTTGGTTACAGAAAAGAAGTCTCTCAGCACAAGTGTTCTTACTGGTAAGAGAAAAGAAAGTGGTTTTGCAATGTTAAGTGTTGAAACACAATTTTAAGACAGTTCGAATACAAAGAAAAACTCTTTCAAAAGGAATGTAAATAAGATCTGTAAATAGTACACTAAGCTAAAATTAAAGATCAGATTGTATGACTAAGAGCTGAACAATTTAAGGTAAATTTGGTAACTACCGGGTAGATGGTTTCGTGTATGTTCACACCCTTGCTTTGGAGGTAGCGCAGATCAGCTTAATGGAGATGAGTTTACCTTGTGCTGATCCAAGGTGTGGACATCTCGGAGCTAGAACTGATACTTAATCTCTACAACATTGTGTTTCCTTACACAAGCGTATCGCGGGTGCAATACTACTTTTCTAGAGCTAGTGCTGTTTCTGGACTTCCTTTGTGACAAGATGTAGATATGCCTATGCCATGTGACCGTCAGACCAAGTATCACTTTGCTTTGAATTAGTATTATCTACTATAATTACTACACTGGCTTAATTTAACTTCTTTTTTTTCCCTACTATGTAAATCAGATGAATTTGTCTGTAACTCGAGAGGTCTGAGCCAAACAATGAATCAACTGCAGCAGCAGCAGCAACAACCCACCTGTGGCAGTCCTGGTGAGAATCTGAAAGCAGGAGCATTTCCCCCTCCATTTTACAGTTCCCATTATCAGGACTATACTGTCCAGCCAGCTCATAAAGCATCAGGTAAGAGTTGCCAAATACAGAAATTGCAAAGTGTTGGTATTTAGTTCCAGTACTGATTCCATGAAAGAAAACACTTAAAAAAATACGGAGGAGGATGATAAACCAAGAACCAAATATGTATCGCTTCGCAGAATGAAAAATTAGTTCTGTTGTTTAGTGTGAAACTTTAATGTTTACATTTGTAATGTATGAGGAAATATTTTTTTTTCTTGCCCTTCATTTCAGTTAAACTTAATACATTTTTACCTTCGAGGTCCAGTCATCCTCCATCCATACTCTTGTCTTGTGATGTAATTGATTAAATTGTACTAAACAACTTCACTGCAGCATTGATATTGGAGGTTTGTTAAAGTCTTAACACGTGCCTTCTAAAAGTTAAAATAAGTAATTAAAGGGGACACATATATGTCCCTTTTAAGATATAAGGGGAGTGGGTATCAAGTTAGAAACCGTGTTGTTTACTAGAGTTTTCCTCATCTGCACCAGTAGCATTTTTCTCAGAACAATCTAAATTGGGGGTGGAGGTGAAAAACTGCACCTGTCCGTGTGATGCGCTTACAACAGTTTAAGGCAGAGCGATGCGTAGGTTTGCTCCGAAACCTGTAACTGCTGGTGGTTTGAGGCATACTGACCTAAACACAAAATGAAATTATAACTGGTATAAACAGAAGGGGGAGGAAAGAAGTCCTCTCTCTGGTCTCAGCACCATGACTTACTTCACTAATCTCTTCCAGGTATGACCAGTCGTCTGCTGGGGCCCTCCTTTGAACCCTACTTGTTGCCCGAGTTAACGAGATATGACTGTGAGGTGAATGTCCCCGTTTTGGGCAGCTCTACGCTTCTGCAGGGCAGTGAACTGCTCAGAGCGCTGGACCAGGCAACCTGAGCGATCCTGCAATATTCCGTGGCCTATACAGTTCAAAACAGCTTCAGTTTTTAAATATATTTTTGCAAGTAGACAATTTCTAATATCAATACACTTTTACAGGATTTTACTTAGATACTGAACCTGTCCACGTTACCAAATAGTGGCCTTTTGAAGTTACTCACTTTATTATTCATATTAAAGAAATACATCTACTGTATTTTCTCTATTGCAATTAAAGTGTTGTTTAGAGAGTTTGATTACCCTCCTCCCCTTATCTCATTACTTGTAATTTATACTCTGAAATTTTCTTCAAATTTCATGCTAATAAAAAGCTGTGGTATAAATGCCTCATCATGTGATACTTTGGCTGCAGTACTGCAAAGATTTATTTTTATTGCCAAAGATGAATGAAACAAATTTGATCTCCAACCACAGTTTTTTGTTGATCTGCCAAATTGAAATCCTTCGCGTCTTTCTGTTTTCCAGCATTTATTGTATTGTAACTTTCATAACTTTTGGAAAAGCATACTAAGGAAAAATCCCAGCCTTCCACCTTCCCCCCTTCCCTTCATTTTTTATACATTTGTTGAAAGAATGTGAATGGTGAACTGCAATGTTTGTGGGTATCTGTGAAAGTTGCACGTTGTAAGCTTTTTTCCTCAGAAGCAAGCCACGTTCTCAGCTGCCTTAACCTGGCTTAGCTCTACAGCCAAGGGAGTCCTACAGATTTACCCCAGTGGAGGATTTAGACCTGTGTTTTCATTTGTGTTCGGGTTTCTTGCTTTGTTCTTTGTTGTTCTTTTTGTTTTGTTTTGGGGGGGCGGGGGGTTGGTGGTATGGTTTGTTGTTGGGTTTTTTAAACACAAAACCCTTTTTTTTTTTTTTTTTTTTTAATTTCTCTCTGGGTCAGTTGTTAATCATCTCTTGATACTTTTGCTATATCTAGGACACAACAATTTTAAGAGCTGTTTCTGCTAGAACTAGTAGTATTTGTTACGGTGTTGCTGATATTCAGGAATCCGACCAGCGGCCAGTACTAACACCTCTGATTAATGTTACCCTTTAGCATTTTACATGCTAGCTAGCAATATAATTGCAACGTTGAATCATTAAAACTAAAAGTTAAAAGTAGTATTTCCCAGCATATTATTATTTATCAGTTATAAGTAGACAAAAAGAATTAAGGATTGTGTAGTGCAATGAATAGCTAGCTGGCAGGCAGGTCTCTCTCAATTGTTACTTGCCTTACATTAATCAGTAGCTGAAACGTCATTGAAAGGCAGCCAGACATTTTCAGAGCTCCTTTACAACTATCATTAGTTGTCATGCACATATCTTAAAATATAAGGCCTTGAATGCTTTCAAAGGCAAAGGGCTTTGAAAGTTTAAATTACAACATACTTAAACAGCAAAAATATTAAAGTAATAAAAAGGCAGGTGAGCAGTTCTGACTTTAAAATACATAAAGACCTAGATATATGTTGGGATATACCATCTTGTTTCTTCCACTGGTATAAATTGTTGTAGTTTCATTGAAGAAAGTGGAACAGTGGCAACGTACAAAAGGTCAAAATCTGGCCCAGAAACTTAGAGCAAAGATATATTCTTTTGAGACTTCCGATTCCGCTGAAGCCTGGTTTATAAAATTGCTTTGTATCATGCACTGACACTTGCAGAGAGGGAGTCTTGGGTTCATTGAGCACTTCAGAGTTCACTGAGTCTTAACCACACATACTTAGAAAAGCTGAAGATCTTTTGTTATTGGTACATAATGTAAAAAAAAAAAAAAAAAAAAATAGTACCTATTGTAGGCAATCTTCCAAGAGGTTATTACCAAAAATAACCTACTCCTAAAGTGAAGTTATTACCATGTGGAATAAATACATTGTAAGCATCAAAATGTGATTAAAATTGGCAAGCCAGATTTGACAAATTTGCAGTGGCAAGGACTTAAAGGCTTCAAGGATTAAAAGACACTTGAATACTGCTCTTCTGTTTCTTATTTGTGTAGTTTCGGCATTAAAAATGTTATACCCTAACAGTTTACTAAAACACTCTGAAAAAATATTCCATGTCTTAATATTAATCATACTTTTTATCATAATTATTTCCTAATCTATATTGCTGACTTCTTATTGACAATATTATAACTGTATGGGAACTTTAACTTGATAAGGAAATGTATTTTGACACTGATACCTTATTAAAGTATACTGATCCTAAATTCTTTGTGACTCATTTGCAATGAATTTGTTATTTGTTGTATCATTGTAAAACAAAAGTATTTATTAAATTATTTATAGAAAATAAAGGTTTGCATTGATCTTTGAAGAATGAACAAACACAGGTTACCCGTATTTGAGAGCTGGGAAGTAGCCTGCCAAAGGTCTGTAACACCAACCTTTTTGTAGAGTTTACCCAGCTTTTCTCAATGGAGGATTAATGCCCTGCAGGCCACCCTTCTGAAACACGTCCTATGGTTCAGACTGCTGCTTCCATTTCAAGAGTGTATTTCTGTCTGAGGAGCTGAGGGTGCCTCTGGTAATGCTACCCTAAAAAAAAAAAAAAAAAAAAAAAAAAAAATCCGTTGACAAAATGACATTTTGGAGGCTGAATTGCCACAGCTGCCCACTTCAATTTTTGTGGCAGTAACATAAGCTGCCATATTCTGGCAGTCCTGACAAGCCCAGGAACAATGGGCTTTCACCCATCGGAGCCTCTGCTTCAACCCCCCCAGTCCTGTATCCCAGTGCTGCTAACCATGCCAATCCTTTTCCATATAGAAATTGCCTGTTTTATAACACTGATCACGCTGTAGGAGGACAGACACATTAAGAAATTCATTTCCAAACATACTTAAATTCAGAGGGGAAGGTGTGGAAGCTGTTGGTGCTTGACCCTTCCAGTAACTGCCTTTGAAAGGTGCAGTGCCCATACAGACACTTCTGAGGATCTTCTGAATAATCTGCATAAGCGGGCTGTCATCGCCTCCTTTTCTAGATGGATGCTCAGCAGGCCTAGAAGGTAACTCCTTGCTTCTAAAGCTGTTTTAATTAACACTTAATCACACAAAGCCCAGCATGACAGGGAATGGTGGTGTGCCTGTTAACCCCTGCTTTTAAAGTGTCCCATTGCTCTTCAGGGCACCTGGACAAAGACTAACAGCATGTCAGAGCCTTATCCAACTGAGTGTTAAAAGAAAAGGCAATCGCTTAAGTAGAGCTTAACCTGTTCAGATCAATTTCTAGCTTTCAAAAGTTGTAATCACTAACTGCAACCGTAAAACAGTACTGCCAGGCATCCTTTTTTTGGGGGTATCCCACTCACCTTAAGCTTAAGGAACATACTAGTACCTTCAGCTCCCCCCCCTCCCTTAGTCTACTACAGCTAACCACTTCTCATGTTAGTGAGTTTTAGTGGGTTTTTCCCTTATGCATATGAATGTCCTGGTTAGCTAAGCTCTGACACTGCAATTTATGTACCCAAAAGAACCCAATCCTGGCCAGAAACCTAATACCTAGATTGCGCCATAGCTGAACTTTGTGCTGCTGAACAGGGGTTTTATTACAGCTTTTTAAATACATAGGGGTTTGGTGTGTTTTGGGTGTGGTGGTTTTGGGGTTTTGTTTTTTTTTTTTTCCCCTCCCCAGTAGGCCAGCAGAGGTGCTTAAAATCAAGCGTACATCATCTTTCGCTGCCTAAAAACACCATTTCTTGGCATCAGAGCTTGCATCTCCAATACCATAGCCAGAACTGATCACAACTAGGTTGTTCAAGACTCATGATATCGTCCTGAAAAAAAAAATCAGGCAGTTTTGCCAAATGCTCGTGACTGGGGCTGGTCTCAGTCTCCAGCTGATTTTTCAAGTCTATCATCTTTTTTTAAGATGAAGCCAATGTTTCATGCAGGCAAGATTCACACCGTTTATCAACCAAATGTCTACAACAAAATACAATAGGAAATTCTCAGCATCGTGGTAGGTATAGATACACGTTATGATCACTACTGAAACTGAAAAAAAAAGATCCAAACCCCATTTCCTCCCTAGCTGCTGGGCATGACAGACCACAATCCTTGCCCTGACATGAAAGCGGATTTAATGCTCCAAGTCACAGGAGGCGAGTGCATCCCCCCTTCGAGAACTGCACCACCACCAATTCATTTCAGACATCCCCCTCAGCTATTAGGTGGCTGTTTCCATGTGCTACTCAAGCCAGCCATGGCAGGCTATGGATGAAAAAGGTTCTGCTGGTTCACAGACATTATCTCTTTCATCATCCCCTTGACACTGCACCTCAAGCAAAATCCTAACAAGTTTCAGACATACATATAGTTTCTCCTGCAGTTTTGGAAATGAGGGCAGAGTTGAGCCGTTTCCCCAGATGGCTGGACTCTCTCTGTAAAGGCAGAACAATTTCCCAGCCATAAGAGAAGCAGTATGGTTTTGCTCTTTTAGTCCTATCAGCACCACAGAGCTAGCACTAAGGGGAAGAGAATCCGTATTTGTGGTTCCCCAAACCTTGTCCCCATACAAATAATTTTGTGTTCAGGACAAAAATTAAGGTTGAGCTAGAGCGCAGCACATACCCTTGTTAGAGCACTTCCAGACACTGCTACGTGCTTGACAGACACCAACAAGCTCACTTAGGATGTGATTTCCGAGTCCAGCTCCGTCCCCTGGTATTTTCAGCCCTGGGCAATCCTTAGGCACTCACTCCAGAGTTTGGCCATTCAGAATTTGGAGAACTCTGGGGTACCCTGGAGGAGAGTGATCCATGGGGATCTCTCTGTCCGGTTATAACTGCTAAGTCTGGAAAAATCAAAGGTTAATGCTCCCGCAGGCAAACTAAAACCCGCTCGTATCTTTGCCGGAGAGAGTGACAGTAAAGTGATCACAATTTCATCATGGTCAGCAGAGTTTTCCAGAATAAAGCTCTTTCTAAAGACATCGATGGGGATGCATGTTCCCAGTTACAACTGTTTATGCAACTGAATTTTATTTTAGATTCTCTAGTGAAAAAAAAAACAGCAGCTTGGAAGTCTTAGTCTCTTTTTCACAATTGCCAAAAACCTAGACCAAAGCTCCCTGACATTACTTTGTAGCAGAAGTTGCAGGAACTTCTAGTTGGCAAACCACAAAAGTTACACCATACAATGAGCCTCATGATCAATACAAACATATATATTTTTAATTCAGCCCCTCCTCCACACAGCAGCACCACAACAGTATTACACTGGATCAAACGAAGCATAAAATGGATGTTGTCACTGTCCATTTTTAGATCCGTTGCATGACATTTTTGGCTTTTTTCCTGGAAGAGCCGGCAAT